GGGGGAAACTGGCAAGAGCCTTTGTTGTGGTTTGCCCAGAAAGGAACGGGCAAGGCAGGGCCAGCAGTTTTAGGATTGGCTAGTTTGCGTAATTTCAGCAGGCTCTGCAGTGTAGGGGCTGTGGCTACTTGCATGGTACCTAGCCCGGGGCAATCAGGGTAGGGGAATACCTGGCCCTACATCAGGGAAGGGGAATTTTGGCCCCCAATAAATGAGACAGTTCGGGTGTGTCTTCAATTTTGTCATTTGTCAGGAGCACTCCCAGGAGAGTTGTTTGCTGTCTCTAGAAATTGGCTAACCCTGGGAGGGGCCATTTCTCCAGGGTCAGAAGAGCCCCAGATGTCAATGCATTGGAATGGGGGCGGGGGAAGACATGTTTAACACGCCCCCTCGAGGGCTGACACTTTAGCACGGCCGCAGGAGGAAGCTAAACCTGGCACACAAACCCCCAGGCCTTGGTCTCTCTGACTGTATGAGGAGGAGTTCAGATTGTGCGAATGACAAGACTTCTGCAAAGCCTTCCATCTGCGATTCCACGAGGTAATTAAATATGAGAAGAAGGTGACAAATGCTGTAATAGAATTCAGTGCTCTGGGGAAAAAGGAAAAGGTGGCTGAGAATTGAAAATTGGGATGGTTCGGAAGGAAGGAACCGGCGCCGGGTGAGGGGATTCGCATGGAAGGTGATGTGGATGGGCAGGCTGGTGGGGCTGGGGGTGAGGCATGGGGGATTCCTCTTCTCAGAGGCACGGGGCAGAACACAAGAGTTCACCAGCAATGAAATATCTCCACCAAAATTCCGAGTGCTGAGGTTGAGAACCCCTGAATTTGAGTAAGAACTGGTATGGAAAGGTGTGTGGATTTTTAGTGTCCCAAGTTAGCAGGACTCAGTGTTCTCCAGGACCTGGCCTGAAGTAGGAAAAGAGGAAGGCTGGAGCCAGCTATCACAAGGCATTTGATCTCCTCTAAGCCTGGCTCTCAGGGACTGGAGGTGGGGGTGGTGGGGACGAGAGGTATTGGACAAAGGGTATAAAGTTTCAGACAGGAAGAATAAATTCTGGAGGTCTGTACTGCATAGTAACTAGTTAATAATACTGTATTGTACACTTGAAATTGCTAAGAAATTAGATCTTACATGCTCTTCACAAAAAAACTATAAGTATGGGTGGGATGAGGTGGCTCATACCTGTAATCCCAGCACTTTGGGAAGCTGAGGCAGGTGGATCATCTGAGATCAGGAGTTCAAGACCACGTTGGCCAACGTGGTGAAACCTCGTCTCTACTAAAAATAGAAAAATTAGCCAGCCGTGATGGCAGGTTCCTGTAATCCCAGCTACACAAGAGGCTGAGGCAAGAGAATAGCTTGAACCCAGGAGGCAGAAGTTGCAGTGAGCCAAGATCAGGCCACTGCACTCCAGCCTGGGTGACAAAGCGACACTCCATCTCACCAAAAAAAAAACAAAAAAACAAAAAGTGTGCGAGGTGATGGATATGTGAGTTAGCTTCACTGAATTATTTCACAATGTATACAGATATCAAACCATCATATTATAGTATATATACACGATTTATTTGTCTAATTTGTCTATTATCCTTAATAAAGCTGATGGGAGGTTGGGCACTTGGAAAAAAAATTAATGCATCTCTACTGTCTGTTAAACTTTACTCCATGAGCATGGGGACTATATACGTCTAGCTTGGCCAAAGCCTGAAATATAGTATTACTCAAAATAGTTCTGTTGAATGAATAAGAAAAACAATAAGTTAGATGTATTGCTGTCCTCATCCTGAGCCCCCTTAGGTTTCATTAAAGAAACTGGATTTAGGTTTGTTGAGGTTTGCTTTTAGTACAAGCCAGATTTGGATTTTTATAAAGTTAAATCTGTTGGCTTTTTTTTTTTTTTTGGTAATTTCTTCTTATTCTTCTAAATTTAAAAATCCTCCCATATACTCCTTAGCCCTCATCAAAAATTTGATGAATATGCTCTTCCTTGTTCTTGCCAGTTTCTCACAGGTTTCCTTCTTTAAATATTCAACTGTTTTAGAAAATCAAACACCGCATGCTCTCACTCATAGGTAGGTATTGAACAATGAGAACACATGGACACAGGGAGGGGAGCATCACACACTGGGGTCTGTTGGGGGGGAATGGGGGAGGGACAGCGAGGGGTAGGGAGGTTGGGGAGGGATAACATGGAGAGAAATGCCAGATATAGGTGACAGGGTGACGGAGGCAGCAAGCCACATTGCCATGTATGTACCTATGCAACAGTCCTACATGTTCTACACATGTACCCCAGAACCTAGAGTGCCATATATATATATATATTTTTTTTTTTTTTTCATTCTCAACTGTTTTGGCCAGGATGGCAAGGTGCAGTAGCTCACACCTGTAATCACAGCACTTTGGGAGGCTAAGGTGGGTGGATCACCTGAAGTCATGAGTTTGAGACCAGCCTGGCCAACATGGCAAAACCCTGTCTCTACTAAAAATACAAAAATTAACTGGGCATGATGGCAGGTGCCTGTAATCCCAGCTATTCAGGAGGCTGAGAGACATAAGAATTGCTTGAACCCAGGAGGTGAAGCAGTGAGCCAAGATCGCTGCACCACTGCACTCCAGCCTGGGCAATGGAGCGAGACTCAATCTCAAAAACGATTTAACTGTTTCATTCTGTCATTCCTAGAGGGTGGTACAGATACTCCTTGTACTCCTGGTAAGCTGATTTTAGGAATTCTGTTGGTAATTAATCTTGTGTTAATAGTTGCGTAGGTTTTTTTTTTTAATTACTTTGTAATCAGGACGTCAAATCTGTATTTCACAGTGGATACTGCTTAGGGTAAGGGTAAGTTTTTAAAGATGGGTCTGTTTTAAAATTTTAATGGATAAGAGTGTGTAGCGTTGATAAATATAAAAAACTGGTAATAGGGATCTGAAAACTATTAAAGTGTGGGAAACATTTGTTAAATCCATGATTTTTTTTTTTGTTTAGAGTAAGGTAACACTCAACTGCTTTTCTCACAACTCACCACCAGATCATTAACCAACTATTCCAAAGCATTTATTGAATTTCTCTTTGATAGTGATTTTTTAAAATCATGTATCAGTTCTTATATGGAACATTCCTGGATAATCTGTTTTGTTCTATGAAACGTTCATTGGTCTTGAACTGTTATTGTACTTTTAATTACTGTGCTTGACTTAATGTCTGGCCTAGCAGGTCTCCCCTCCCCCAAAGGAGAGGCCGATTTTGAGGGCTAGGGTCCAGAGTGGGAGCATGTGAACAGACAGTAACCCATGAGCCATAGCACATCCAGCAAGGCCGCTGGGACCCGACCCAGGTGAATGTGGGTTACAGCAGCGGAGCTGACCCAACATTCCCAGACCCCAACATGGTAGTGCAAGAACTCTGTTATCCCAAGGGGAAATGGAGAGGAACAAAAATAATTATTAGGTATCACATTCAAATGAGAAGAACCAAGGATACTCTTGGTCATTGGGAACTAGACCTGTAGTGATGAATTTGGAACCATAAGGGAGAACTAAAATGAGACTCTGGGTGGGTCATGATACCCTTTCTGTTGTCTGGTTATCTGCCTGTGAAATGGGTAGATATAACCTGTTGCTCAGTAATGTTGAAAAGACAATTTATCTGGAAAAGACATGTTTATATAGACAGGCACACACACGCATGTGCACAATGTGATGCACAAGCAGACACAAAAATCCAGACTTAAAACCAGCGTGTGGATAGGCACTGACTCCGCCCCCACCCACAGTGTTCTCATTGAATGACAAGGTTCCTTTCAATGCACAGCTTCCCCAGTGATTTCAATTATTTATTTGGAGTCCGCCAACACACCCTATATATTTTTTTTAATTTTTATTTATTTATTTTGAGACAGAGTCTTCCTCTGTTGCCAGGCCGGAGTGAAGTGGCACAATCCTGGCTCAATGCAACCTCTGCCCCCCAGGTTCAAGTGATTCTCCTGCCTCAGCCTCCCAAGTAGCTGGAACTACAGGCGTATGCCATCATGCTAGGCTAATTTTTATATTTTTAGTAGAGACAGTGTTTCACAGTGTTAGCCAGGATGGTCTCAATCTCCTAACCTCGTGATCTGCCAAAGTGGTGGGATTACAGGCGTGAGCCACCGTGCCTGGCCCAATTTTTTTTGTTAATAAAAATAATGAATCTCACATACAACTTTTCTAAAACATGCAGGGCAAAAAGTGGGGGGTACTAGAAACACATGGATTTATCCATCCCCCAGCCTAATATGTCAGTGAAGCAGGATGAATCCATGTGGACAAACAGAATGGGGTTTGGCAAAACTGAATAGACAGTAGGAGTGGAAAGGGCCTTAGAGTGCTTTTACTTCAAAAGACTTTCCTACAGAGGAAGGAACAAGGAATCTCATGACCCACATACACCCTCCCCACTTCCCAGCAGAGTGACACCATGTAATACTATTTCTTTTGCCACCAAAGAGCAAACTGTGATCACATTTGGATGGAGGCACTGTTGAGTTAACTTTGCTGCCTCTGTTGAATTTCTGGTGTCTCAAGGTTGGAGAGAATGCAGTGGACAGCAGCTCACATGTGAGTGAAAGCAAGAGAAGACAGCCAGCAGGTGCTGAGTCATGCTAGAGCAGATGCTGAGTCATGTTGAATCACGCTGTCCTTTGGGATTCACCAAGGGAGACTAATCCCAAGGGAATTTATTTTCTGTCTTAAATGAGGGTCTCAAGTGAGAACCTGAGTATGAATTGGATGAATATTCAAGTGGGAAAGAGATCAGGAGAGGATCCAGGAAGTCCACACCCTATAAAATGTTTGGGCTGTGTCTGGTGCCAGGACTTTGCCCATTCTGGAAAGTCCAGAATGAGGTCTCTTCCTCCCTCTGTAGTTTTCCAGGTGGGCTCTGGGATCTCCTGGCAATTGAAGAGGGCTTTGCAAAGATGAGCTGGGTTTATAAATAATGCATTTCCTTTGTCTTGCAGGAATTCGGGAGGCAGAGGTACAATCAGATCAGCTGTGAACAGCTTACATAGCAAATCTAATAGGTTTGTAAATTAGATTTTGTGTTCATTTGTTTTTGCTGTAAGGCAGCTATTAATCTGCTTCTCCTCTTTGCTGGATGGTGCCCTTCTTACTCAGCAAATAGATCTGTTCTGTTTCACTTTGGCTTTGCATTTCCCTAATCACTTTTGGGGGGAGCTGTCAATGGAAGATCACATGAAATGGCCCAAGGTCTAGAGGCTGCAGAGATGGAAAACGAAGATGGGTAAGAGCCACTTTCTGGAAAAGAGCCCACCCGCTTTGTAATGCCTGGGACACCAACGAGCTTACTCAAACTTCCATGTTTGCTGAGCAATGGAGACCCTGAAGGGAACGAGGATTTCCGCTCAATTTCACTGCAGTAGACGGCTTGTCCAGGAGGTTAAGATGGAAAATAAAGCATTCAGGAACTTTGCTGACACCTCTTAAAACATGTAGGGAGTCAACCCAGTAATGTTAACCCTGATTATTGAATGGACACTCCAAATTCTCAGAATGTTTCTACTTCATGTAATGATACAGAACAGTCATTGGCCAGGGGACAGCTGGAAGCAGGAGAGCATGCAAACCCAGGCTTGCTCCTGGCTGTGGCTGCACCGCGCTTCTGAGTCCCCATTCTCTGTCAGTGATAAGTGCTCCATAGCTATGGCCTGTAGTCTTATAAGCCTGAACTTAAGGAGCAGTGGAAGGAAGTACCAGGTTATTTGATGTAAACAAAAGCTGCTCCTCAAAATCAAGGCCGTGTTTTGCTGTCTAAATATCCTATTCCCTGTTAGTGTGGGAATAAGAGGTCCATATGACGCAGAGGATCATCTATTGTTTGCCCTTCCATCCTTTTTTAGATCTCTCTTCCATATGAGACCTGTCAGGGACCTCTGTTCCTGACCCTGTATGACTCACTTGAGAAACTGTTCTGTCCCTGACATCATTGCTTCTAGCCCTCTAACAACCTCTTAGTCACCTTGGAGCTTTGAATGAAGCCTGTTATGCCTGGTGAAAAGTGAACATAGCGGAAAGGAAGAAGGCCATGTGCGCCTAAGCCCCTCTCTGTTCGATTATGAAACGATGCCCCCTTTCAGAGAAAGAAGATCCTGCCCCTAAAGCCCAAGTCCCCGGTAATTGAGGGGGTACAGTCCATAGGAATCAAGTATGAGAAGTGGAAAAAACAGTACTGGGGGCAGGCAGCCCTGGCTTCAGCCCCAGTGTTTGTCAGCCAGCACCTTGGGCAAGTGATTTTACCCTTCCGAGCACTGGCTTTCACATTTAATTACAATAATAACTGCAGTGTCTTCTTTGAGGAGTGTTTAAGGATTAGAACCACCAAATGTAAGGCTCTATCTAGCCCAGCACCTGATATGTTAAAGGTACTTCATCGATGCTTGTTAATACCCCTGTGGATATATCTGTGGCATCAAAAGAAGGTCACTGGGGCTGAAGTTCAGGGGTCAGGAAGTGATCTTCCTCTAGTGTCATTTTGGAAATTGGGGAGGACTGGAGACAGAACACATTCACTGAAGAGGAACATCTCAACTCACCAGTCCAGCACGTTTGTATAGCACAGAGCGTGTAAAACCTGTGAACCCAGGCAGATCCTGGGGTTATCTAATCCATCCCCTTTATTTTACAGATAAGAAGGCAGAGTCCAGAAATCTGAAGTGACTTTCCCAAGTTCCCCAGGTAGACTGCACCCAAGCCACGGTTAAAGTCCCATAAGACCATGATGGGCTGTGCAGGATGCCATCCAAATTCACCCTAGAAAGTGGAGAGTAAAACCGAATTTTATCATCATCCACACCAGCATTTCTCTCTCTCCCTTTCTGGCCTTTACCACCTTGTGTCCAAGAGAAGTCTGCAAACCTTTCCTGGAAGTGTCCAAGCAGGTCCCCGCTCTAAGCATCTATGATAGAATTCCTCTACAGATACTTTTCTGAGAGCCTGGTGCCACCCAGTGTGTCCCAGTCTCTGGGAAGCATCACCCTAGACTGAACTCACCTTAAGCCATGAGATGCCAGCGCACAGTCACTGATTCCTTTTGAGCACACAGCTAGCCTCTTAGGGTAACAACTCCTCATCACCAATATTAAAGCATTTCCGTTCTGTGTACCTACTGAGGTAGGCTTCAGTGAAGCTCCAGTGAAGCTGCTAATTCTGAATTCCGTGTCCCTGAGGTCAGTGCCCCGGCTTATGCTCTGCATAGAAGTTGGTGATACTAAAAGGATGCAGCGATACCAGCTCCTGCTGGTATCACTCATGAGGTGGAGGCCACTGGGGCATGCTCCCTTGAGAACATTGGTACTCCCTTGAGAATTCCAGAACCTCAGGAAATGGTTATCTGTCTCTTCTATACTCTGTTTCTATAAATGGGCAATCTGTGGCTCAGAGAGGTAAAGTGATCAGCCCACAGTCACACAGCTTATGCAATCTTTCCACTGTACCCTCTGCTCCTTGCATGAAAAGAGTAAAAATTCCAAAGGGTTAGGTCTTGTGTATCCTCTCAGAAGTTCCATTAAGGCTGCATGCTAGGAAGAGTTCCTCTGCTGTACTCAAAACTCTTTCATTCTCTATCCTCTGCAAAGTTACAGATATTTGAATTCAAGACAAGTGATATCAGCCCGAAGGAGTCAGAAATATTGAGGAATGGAGGTGGGTGGGTGAAGGGAATGTGTGAGACAGTGTGCACCCCCAAACGAATTCCTTCTCTACCTGCAAAAGTCACAGTAGGGCTGGGCGCAGTGGTGCATGCCTGTAATCCCAGCACTTTGAGAGGGCGAGGCAGGTAAATCACCTGAGGTCAGGAGTTCAAGACCAGCCTGGCCAACAGGGCGAAACCCAGTCTCTACTAAAATACAAAAATTACCCAGGTGTAGTGGCATTCACCTGTAATCCCAGCTACTCAGGATGCCGAGCCAGGAGAATTACTTGAACCTGGGTGGTGGAGGTTGCAATGAACCAAGATTGTGCCACTGTATTCACTGCACTCCAGCCTGGGTGACAGAGCGAGACTCTGTCTCCAAATTAAAAAAAAAAAAAAAAAGTCGAAGTCCAAGTAGAGCATCGGGTTTAGAACTCACTAACAGGATTTCATCCTTTTTAACTTGGCTGTTTCAAGACAAATGCAGAGGACATAGATGTTTGGTTTGAACTCCTTCAACCTTCCGAATTTGGTGTCACAAATCCATTTATTCTAACTGGGAGAATCTGCTGTCAGCCCAGACAAACAGAACCTTGGCTGTGACCCACATACATCTGTGTGCATCCGGCAGTAAGCCGGCTGACTCTTACATTGCCTTTAAAGATAGAATTGTAACCTAGTTTATAGAAACCTACTAGCATAGATTTCAAGCCAGTCTTGTAACACCTGATGTTCCTGAGTCAGCTAGAAAGGGGTGTTTACCCAGAATCATGATCCGCCCAGGGAGTACAAAGCCAGCCAGTTCTTTCATTCACCCAAGGCTTTCCCAGGATCGATTTCAACCTAAATTCAACAATACTTATTTATGGAGCAGCTGCTATGTCAGACCATTAGGGAATATAAAATGAATGTGGGCGATCCCATGCTTACAGCCTCATATGAGGGACGGACACAGCACAGACAATGGTGTGACAAGCGCCAGGTTTCAAGTAGCACCTCAGAGTTACCCACAAGAGTGATGGGGCTGCCAGGGAGGAGGGTGAAGCCACAGGCTACAATTGCATCATCCTGGTATGAGTTCTTGTTTTCTCTTTAGGTTTGTAAGCCCATCATTTGATACCTTGTTGCCCATATCCCTGCTCCTTGTGGAGTTTATCAATAGCTTGAATAAGAAAGATTACTCTTCTGACAGTGACTGCCAGGATTTACTGGGGGAAAACACACTAGGGGCAGGGGAAGAAAAATAGGTTTATCACCCTCCTTCCTGTCTCCAAGAATGTATGTAGGTTATACCTGAGGGACAGAGTTTGTGCATTACTGGAAGATAAATAGACTTCCTTCTCTTCTCAGGTAATAACTGCAATTTTGCTCTTCTGGAAAAGTTTACATTCGAGCCCGTGCAAAAACAAAACTATTAGACTTGTCATCGGCTTGCTAACACATCATGCCTACCCTCTTCCTTTTTTTTCCTTCCAGAGCTGAAGTTGTAATAAATGGCTCCTCATCACCAGCTGTTGTTGACAGAAGCAATGAAAGCATCAAGCACGACATCCAGCCAGCCTCGTCCAAATGGAGACATAACCAGACGCTGTCTCTGAGGATCAGGTACTGGTAATTACCTACAGGACAAGTCAAGAAGACTTGGTCTTCTTCAGCACATACGGGCAAATTGTCGCTCTTCATCATCTAAAGCAGTCAGGATAGAAATAAAATGTTTACCTCCCGCTGAGGCAGGTTTCATCTGTAAGTGATCAACTGGAAATAAAAACCCGAGACAAGCCTGGCAGCCCGGCCTGTGTATGTGGCGACTGGGTCCAGGAGGTGGTGGCAGGAGCACCCATTGAGGTCCTGGGCTTAGAAGCAGCAAACCTTGAGCCTCAGGTCAGCAGCAAAGGGCGCCTGGGCAGTGGAGGCCACAGGTGGCTGTTTCTTCCGAGGCAGTAAAGAGTCCTTACTTGATGGCACCTGCCTGGTATGCATTCACATCCCCTTTCAGTGACTGTCCCCCAGTTTGTATTTTTAGTAGAGACGGGGTTTCACCAGGATGGTCTCCATCTCTTGACCTCGTGATCCATCCACCTCAGCCTCCCAAAGTGCTGGAATTACAGGCGTGAGCCACCGCACCCGGCTGACTGTTCCCCAGTTTGTCCTTGGAGAGCTACTCCCTCCCTCAGCCCTTGCAGCTTGCGTAGGCTGCCCCTCTCCCACAACATGAAAATGAAAAACTAGAGCCACAGTGGCATTCGGAGAACTCAGGAACGGACATGACACCTGACCCAAAAGCAGATTTCCATTTAGCTGGAGATCAGCTCATCCTGATGTGTGCAGAGTGATGTTTTCAGAGCACTGCAGGCACGATCAGGTAGTGGCAATGGGGAACCACAGGGAAGGACTGACAACTTCGGCATTTTGTACGCTTAGCTCAGATGTCACCAGGACTGACCTAGCAAATATTTTTAAGTATAATCCAACTATTCCGTTCCAGATGTCGTGCTGGGGCCGGGGGTGCTGGCATGAATCAGACATGCCAGGTGGGGACAAGACTGTAAGCAAAGACAACACAGCATGGTCTGAAATCCGCATTAGGTGGTGCCGCATCTTACACGGATTTCATCTGTAAGTGATCAACTGGAAATAAAGAGGCATACTGAGGAGAGAGCCATTCGTTTTGTAAGGGGACTAAGAGGACTGGCCAGGAGACGCTGGCCAGGAGCAGTGGGTTTTGAAGGATAATTAGGAGTTCACCAAGCTGCTTTCCACATCCACAGAGTCTATGATCTGGTACCTGTGCACAGTGCTGCAGGAGCAGGAAGCAGGAGGCAGGGAATGAGGGGGTGAGGCTGGGACAGTAGCCAGGAACAGATGGGGAAGGCGTTGATGACCATCCCAGGCCATAGGGAGAGAGGAGAGCAGCCACCAGCAATGTCACCACACAGAACAGGGGATCCCCCCTTCAGTAGGCTCACTGTCCAAATGGAAATGGCCCCGCATCCTAGTTCTTGAAGCTTAGTTTTGGGACATGAGCAGGGCTGGGAAATGGAAAAGCGTGTGCTCTGGAGACCTGGCAGCTGAGAAGCCATCTAAAGTAGCTAACTCCCTGCCACCCTGCACTTCTTACTCAGCGCCTCTTCAGAGGCCTCCTCGTGGCCCTCCATCCCCCTCACAAAGCCCTAACAACTGCCCCAGTTGATCGGGGCACCGTGGAGGCGGCAATGCCACCTGCATTAGTTCCCTGGGGCTGCTGTAACAAATTACCGTCGACTCAGTGGCCTAAAACAACAGAAATTGATCCTGCACAGCTCTGGATGCCAGAGTTCTGAGCACCCCTTGCAGGCTCCAAGGGAGAACCCATCCGCTTGCCCCTTCCAGCCTCTGGTGGCCGCAGAACTCTAGTCCCTGCCTCTGTCTTCTGTGGCCCTCTCCTCTGTGCCTCTACTTCTTTTTTTTTTTTTTTTTTTTTTTTTTTTGAGGAGACAGTCTCGCTCTGTCACCAGGCTGGAGTACAGTGGTGTGATCTTGGCTCACTGCAACCTCCAATTCCCGGGTTCAAGCGATTCTCCTGCCTCAGTCCCAAGTAGCTGGGACTACAGGCACGTGCCACCACACCCAGCTAATTTTTGTATTTTTAGTAGAGATGGGGTTTCACCATATTGGTCAGGATGGTCTTATTTCTGGACCTTGTGATCCGCCCGCCTCGGCCTCCCAAAGTGCTAGGATTACAGGCATGAGCCACCACGCCCGGCCCTCTTCTATCTTCTATGAGGACACTTGACATTGAATTTAAGGCCCACCCGGGTAATCCAGGATGATCTCATCTCCAGATTCCTATGTCAATTACATCTGCAAAGATGCTCTTTTGAAATACAGTCACATTCTCAGGTTCCAGGGGTTAGGAGGTGGACGTGTATTTTAGGGGGGTCACCATTCTCCCCACTACACCACCTATGAATGAAATCCTCCTGCCAGTACAAGCTACCCATGGTCCCCTATGTCCCTTTCTCCATCCATTGGGTAGAGAAATAGCCCCCGGCCACCCTGCCCCATGAAGATCAGACTGCATCCTTCATAAAAACCCTACACGCACAGTCTCCTCAGCAGGAACAACATACCTTCACCCAGAGGGAAAAAGAATTTCCTCCAACTTCAATTAATCATCAAGATTATCCATAATAAAAGATTCTGCAAGTGATTTGGAATGATGTTTAATAATTGATAATTTCTCATAATTAGTTAGAAATTAATTCACTCACAGAGGTGTTTATTTATGGGCTTTCTAGGGGCTCTCTTTGTTTTTAAATACTTTGCAGTAAGTAATTGCAAGGGTTTCAGCAATTTCCCAGCTACATTAGTTTGTCAAGTCATATAATCCTTGGTAAAGCGCAGTAAATAAAAGCAATGCCTGTTTTCCATCAACGGATACGACTTAGTCTACAAGGGTGGTTTCCCCAACATGACAGCAAGAGATCCAGGTCATTAATAAGGAGAGACAGTGGATGAGAAGCCTCAAGCTCACCAAGTGTTCTCGCTGCGCCCCAGCTGCACCAAAGGCTCTTAAACCTGGACGCACACTGAAGTCACCTGGGGAGCTTTTGAGAGCAATGCTGAGACCTAGGCCACTTGTAGAATCAAGATTTCTCACGTGTCAGCCTGGAGCTTTGAAATACTTAAAGGTTCCCCAAGTGACTGAATGTGCAGCCTGCTAGAATGTACCACAGGCAGTGAACATCTCAAAGCCAGCAGGCTTTCAGGCCTTGGTGTTACTGTCTGTGAGATGGGACAGCCATCCTACAGCGTCTCACATTTGCAAAGTGCATGAAACTTCTGCACCTCCAGGACTCTGAAAACAAAGAACAGCATCTTTGTATCTGTTCCAGATAGGAATTTGCAACAGAATATGAAATTAACTTCAGCTTATCTAGGTCCCCAGTTTCTTTCTCTTTATGAATAGCAAATCATTTCTAAAAATCTTGGGCTATATGTAAACAGTTCTTTAAGTAACACCAGGCTGGGCTTCGCAGGCTCCAGGGAGGAAGGCTGTGTGTTTCAGGTAAAGCTTATCTGGCAAGTCCAAGAGGACACCCATCCCTTTCCTGACCTCACTCCACCCTTTCTTTGTGCTTTGCTAGATGATTCAATTCGAGAACTTTCTCTAACTCGAAGCTACCCTAGAGCCTAGAGAGCTGTCCTTTGCTCTGAAACAACACAAAGGAGCCCTTCTCTGGGGACCAGCGAGGTGTCCATATCTACAATCTCCCTGCCATAAACACTAGATAGCAACCAGCGGGGCCAGCAAGGGGAGGTGCTCCAGCTTGCAGGATGGCAGGACATCCTCTCAGTGTCTCAAAGGCGGACATGTTCATACACATCACAGTATCCATCCCTCCAGAAAGCCCCTTTGCCCAGAGAACCCTCCCTGGAAGGAAAGGGGCTGGTGAGGAGTGAAAGGCTTCTGTATCTGACTTCCGACTCCTGCACAGCTTTGTCAACCTGTTCTCAACATCCAGGAAGTGCGGGCCTAACAGAGAAACTTGGAATTTGGACCTAACCATTCATTTTCACCCCTGCCAGAGAATGGCCCTAAATCCCCCTTAGAGAGTGAGTGTAATGCAGGGTCACCAAATATCTGGGGGTGCCCAAGATTGAGGGGTTTTCAGGGATGCAAGGCTTTCAGTGCCCAGGCCAGGAAGTCTTGGGGAAACTGGGATGGTGGGCCGCCCCTCCTTCTGGGCCTGCTGTGAGGAGCTCACCTCCAGCTTTAATGGAGTGATCTGCCATGCCATTTTCGCCTCGCAAAGGAAGAGGGCATAATCCTGGCAACTCCATGTTGGCCAGCACCACAGTTGCCTCTGGGCCATTTCTGGCCACCCAGCCTGGAACCCATTCTCGAGGGCACCTGAACTCTCAGCATGCTCCGTGTTTGCTGGGCTTCAGCCACCCTGCAGGGCGACACTGGACAGGAAAAGCTGGGCTGGCAAAGGGCAGCTGGCACCAGAGAGGCTTTCCTTACACATGTTTGCTTTCCACAGGAAGCAGATTTTAAAGTTCCTGGATGCTGAAAAGGACATTTCGGTCCTAAAGGGAACCCTGAAGCCCGGAGACATTATTCATTACATCTTCGATCGAGACAGCACCATGAACGTGTCCCAGAACCTCTACGAGCTCCTCCCCAGGACTTCGCCGCTGAAGAACAAGCACTTTGGGACTTGTGCCATCGTAGGCAACTCGGGGGTCTTGCTGAACAGCGGCTGTGGGAAGGAGATTGATGCCCACAGCTTCGTCATCAGGTAACATGCCCAGCAGGCACTCTGGGCCAGAGTGGCAGGCAGGCTGTGCTTCAGGGGAGCATTGCCAGCTGCCCCAAGAGATTGAAACAAGACAGAGTTAGCCCCTACTCTCAACCATGGCTGCTCATCAGAATCACTTGGGGACCTTTGCCCCCAATGTCCAGAATGTATCTCCAACCAATTAAATCAATGGAGGAGAGGGGAGGGGAAGAGAGGTGAGGCAGGGGTGCGGGCACCCAGGGAGGCCAGGTCATTCTGATGTATAGCCAAGGTTAAGAATCACTGATCCACAGCAGAGGTGGGCAGACGCCGGCCCACAGCCTGCTCTTATAAACAGAGTGTGGTTGAAACACAGCCACGCCACGAATTTTTGTATCATTCGTGGCTGCTGTCTCACTACAAGGAGAGTGGAGTTATTGGGCACCGTGAAGTCGTTGGGTGGAATTGCAATGTCACAACAGAGAGATCATATCGCCTGCAAAGCCAAAAATGTCATTATCTGGCTCTTTACCGAAAAAAATTAAACTCTTTTAAGTGTCCTGGAAGGGGAAGCTCTACTAATGACTCTATTACCCTGCTTTCAAAATCTGGGAAGTGCGAGAGTAACAGAGAAACTTGGATTTTGTAACTGACCGTAATTTTCTCTAAGATAGCAGCTCTCAGTTTCCAGCTGCCTGGGACATTTGCACATAAGGTTGCCCATAGGCCCGACACCTGACCCCCAACCCACCACAGTCACGGAAACAAGGCCTTGCTGTCTCTTGGTCAGAATTAGGGCATGCAGAGCATTGTATTTCACTGGAGGCGGCTCCCCAGACCTGGCAGAACTGCATACGTTCTCATGTTTCTGTGGGGACCAAAGACAGCCTTGTTCTGGGCTTTGGGAAGCTGCCTTATCGCAGAGTTCTCTGAACCTCTGGACATGGGAAGAAACCGTGTCTTTACTCTTGGCATCCACTGGGATTGAAAACGGTACCGCAGCCTGCCAGCCAGAGTCTTCTCATCCTCTGCCAGGCCCAGGTGGGCCTGCCACATCCAAGGACTCAGTCCCTGTTTTTCAAAGTCCTTCAGTCTAAAGACAGTTGGAGGGAGAGTCAGGGGAGGGGAAAGGAAGAAGGAAATGTGACAGGTCTCTCTGATTGGAAGCCAGAGGAGTGATGGGTGGGCATTAAAGGTGAGTATGTGGGGGCCAAGGCTTCCTCCCAGGGGGTCGGATTCCCTTCAGGGTGCCAAGCAGTATAGGGGGTCCCTTCTGAGCTAATGCCACATAGGTAAGCCATGCCTCTTCCTTGGTGACAAGCCATGAGTTCTCACGGTGAGCTTTACACACCCCATGAAGTCCTGACCCTGACCCAGGAATTTTTAGAGGCAGATTTGGGCCACAGTTTCCTTTTGGGACCCTTTCACACAGTCAGCAGTGTGGACTGCAAAGCTGTGCCTTGGCTCTGCTACCCATTTACCACAGGACTTGGAGCGTCTCATTCTGCCTTTCTGGGCCTCAGTTTCATCATCTGTAAAATGGGCTGGGTGGACTGGCTGGCCTTGAGGCTCTTTCACGATGAATACAGTCTGTACTCGGGCGCAGTGCTTCCCAAACTTTACCGTGCTCAGGAGTCACCTGGGCTTATCGACATGTAGAGTTCTGGGGTCTAGGGTGGGGCCGGCCACTCAGCATTTCTAATAAGCACCCCAGGGGATGCACTGCTGGTGTTGACTGCACGTGGAGAGGCGAAGCCGGGGCGTGCTCTGCCTCACCCATGGGAGTCAGGTCCACACCCATCCACACAAACTGGGGAAATATGGATCAAAAATGCCAAGGAGCAAGCAGCTGTTCTTTGTCCCTTAGGCCTTTGTCCCTGGCTCTGAAACACCCACGTGTCTCTTCGGGGTGTTTTAGGACAAGATGATGCAGCCCCATTGTGTACAGACCTACGTTTTACATCAGGGATACAGTACCCAGAAGTGGCACTAGCTCTCCACCCCGCTGGGACCATTCCTCTGGGTTCTTCCCATGGAGGAGTTTATTCCATGCCCTGCACTTGGAAACATCCTGCAGGTCAAAGCTCCACACTAACAGTGAAGGCAGAAGCATTAAATGAGACGGCACACGTGAACGTGCCTGGGACGGAGTCTCCCACACAACAGGGGCTCTAAGCATTAATTCCCATGGACTCTGTGTCTCTACTCGACCCACCTCACCCCCAGGTGGTGAGCTCCTCCAGAGCAGAGCGGCTGTGCCCATCTCTGGGCCTCCAGTCCAAGGCTGTGCCGGGCCAGAGGAGGGTCTCCATGTGCCTCTGCTAGAATGACAGATGCTGTAAACTTCCTGCTAGAGGTTTCTGTCTCTGCCAATCCAAGTCTTCAATCCATTCACCTTCCTCCTCCGTGGGAGAAACACAGAGACATGCAAGACCTCACCCTGTCTCAGAACACTCTGTGTGGGGAATACATGCTTGTAAGTCCTGGTGGGACACATGGCACGCAAAATGCAATGATCTTGCAGAATCCGGTGCCTCCTAGGGTGTTCAGGGCAGGCTCCAGCAGAAGCAGCATTGGAGTGTGAGTGCCTCTGACCAGTGAAAGTGGTGAGGAGGAGAGCACGGCAGGAAGAGAGACATGGAAGCAAGAAGGCAGGTGCATGGATCAGGGAGGGCACTGCTCCAGCAGGCATCAGCTGCACAGAGTGCTGCTGGGAATGGATGGAGGGCTGGTCCCAGGAGAGCCCCATAGTCCTGCAACGCCAGGCTGAGGCTGAGGACACTGTGTCTATCTGGGATCGTGTGTGCAGCGCATAAGCTCTCAGATGTTTGGGGATCAGGATTTCATTGTGCGTACATACACACACACACACATACACACACACACACAAACTTTCTTCCACAGGGAGAATCTAATGAACAAACACCATTCCATGGATAAATCACATCGCCATCATTGTTCTCCCTTACCATACTGGCCACTTAGAATGTACCAGGTGCTATTCTATGCGCTTCATGTTTAGCTTAACGATTCTCACAACTGTTCTGTAAAGAGTGCTCTGTTTGTATCCTGGCTTTGCAGTGAGGAAATTGAGGCACCGAAAGGCAAACCCCACGCAGCTAGTGAGGGCTGAAGCCAGGCCGTGGACCGGGCAGTTGGCCTCCAGTGCCTGCCCAAGCTGCCTGTCATCCTGCAGAGCACTCAATGTGTACCTGTGGGTGTGGTGGTTTCTGGAAGAGAGTGACTCCTTTCCTGCCCAGAGCCAAGCCCATCCAAGCAATGCAGCCCACCTACAGCCCACCCAGAAGTCACTTTGGGGGGCCTGGCCTACCGTTGGACAAAAGAGAGCCTAGATCCGATTGAACCCCTTCCTAATGCCTCCTCCTCACCTCACTGAAGCCATTCACATCTGGTGGGGAAGGAAGACATCTGGACAGCCCACTTAGGGCAGCGCTTTCCCGACCCAGCATCCTCACTGAGGCACAGTCATTGGAAAAGCTTGGACTTCACATCCCCTCCCTGCCTCCCTCTTGTGCCTCCTGCTTGTAAGGTATGGAGCCCCTGCTGTGAGCCGAGTCCTATACTGAATGAGGGCTGGGGCCTGCCTGCGAGGTGCACGCAGCCCCTCTTCCCATTGGCCACAGCATATTCCAGAAGGTGGCATCCCAGCCAGGCCCACACTGCAGTCGGGAATGTGTTTCCTCCTGCACTGTCCTGGGCTATCTCGTAAGCCACCAGGGTCGGGTGCCACAGCCCCTCCTGCCCGATGGGTGCTTCCAGTCCATCTGAACTGCATGGAGACCACTTGGCCCTGCTCTCAGGACCTGGAGCTTGGCCGAGAATTGGTCCCAGACCCTCAGGAAGGCCATGGAAGCCCGGCTCAGCCACGTTTCAAGCCTACAGGAGTAACTAAGAGCTGGGCAGCCCCACACTGGCTGATGTGCTGCCGTGACATGTCAGTCTCTGAGGCCGTGGCGAGGGCTCCTGAAGGGGAATTGACTCAGGGCAATCCTAGCCCCTTGCAACGTTTAGCCACAGTCAAAGATGGCAAGGCCTAGGGGCAGGGATGAGAAGAGGGGATATTTTAGGGGGTTCAGTGTGAAATCACAGACAGGCTTTTTAAGTGAAATATACCTGAGCTTCACTCTGGCGGTTCCCTTTCTAGCTCTGGGACTTTGGGCAAGTTCATTCTCACACACTGGGCCTCCATCTCCTCATCTGTAACAGGAGGGTGATTAAAACCAGGTCAAAATAAAACGAGCCGATCTATGTGAAAGGCCCAGCCCGTGCCTGGCACACACCGGGGGCTCCAAAAATATTAGTTTTCTTTCTGATCAACCGCTTTTTCTCCTCAGTTGTTGAAGAAGGAAAGTCCTTGCTTAAAGGGGGACAATGCTGCCCCTGTGGACTTCTACCTTTGATGATCACCTGTGGTCCCTTGTGTCCAGGTATCCAGCCTCATTTTTACCCTTAACTGGATTTCTCAGACTTATTTCCACTGGTCAAAGGGCTTTTCCACCAACAAATCCTCTGTGCCAGACAGCAGCCAGACCTCCCCTGCTATGCCCCCTGCTGCCATCCCAGTCCCAGACACAGGCAGGAAACCCAGGTGTGCACACCCAGGCCGGGTCTCCCATAAGGAAGTCGTCAGGTTAAATAGCTGAGGCTGTCTACCCAGCAGCCTGACTTGTCAGCCTGAGTTTGCAGCGGCCTCTTAGTCTGCCCTCCAGCACCCAACTCCATCCCGCCCCCATCCATACTGCAACTTCAGCTCATTGCTTTCTAATTGTGGCCAAAAATTCTAATCTGTCCCTGTCACCATCCTGCTCCAGAACCCTCAGTGGCTCCCTATTGCCCTCAGAACCAAGTCCCTGGCCCACAGGTCCTTTGACAGGCAAATCTGCTCTGCTTGCTTCCCCAACCCCATCTCCTCCACACAATAGGCTCCAATCAGACCAAATCACTTGCCTTTCCCTAAACAGCCACGCCGTCTCCCACCTCTCTGCCCTTGGAAAGCTTTCTTGTGCCTACGGGGCTATAGCACAGTATTTCCTAAACTGCGTGGCTGTAACACCAGCTGAAGAGGAAGAGCTTGGGAAACACAGGTATCAATGCTTAGGCCCACCTGCCGTATCAGAATCTCCAGGTGAGGAACCGGGCAATCTGTATTGTTAACAAGTGCCTGGGGTGATTGTTCTGATTTGGCAAACTGGAGAAGCGCTGTTTTCATGTACCTTGTCCACTAATAGATTTCTGCTTAGTGGTCACCACCTCGGGGAAGTCCACCTGACACTCCTCCTTCCCAGAGACTGGTGACAAGACAGCAGTTAGCATCTACCAAGCTCTTATTATATCTGGTAGTGGTCTAAGTATGGGGCATGTAGCAGTTCTTTTAATCCTTGGGAGGGATTCTTTTGTGATCTCTATCGTAGTTAAAGTAATGGAAGGTCTCAGGAAGCACAGAGAAATTGAGCAAGTTTTCAAGAATCACACAGGTAGAAAGTGTCAAAGCGAGTTTAGGGCCTGGGAGTCTGCCTTCAGATCCCTCACTCTGTCACCTCATGCGCCAGGTCACTCTCGGCAATGGCGTCATCACCCTGCGGGCTGAGGACTGGCTTATTGCTTCTTTCTTCCTCTCCTAGATCCTGAACTCCAGAGTAAAAGGCAGGCATTTACATCCACAGGATCTAAAAAAGTTCTAGGTACATCGTGTGAACTCAGTCAACATTTGTGGTGGAAAGAGGAGGAGAAGGGATGACAGGAGGGGCCTGTGAGTGTGGAGACATGCCCTGGGTCTTTGTTTGGGGATGAGAAAGAACCAAGGAGAGGCAAAGGACGGGATCAAGTTAACAGAAGAGGGGGGTCTCGGCTTTCCCAAAAGGATCATGTTGCCTTTTTCTCCGGTAGGTGCAACCTGGCCCCAGTACAGGAGTACGCCCGGGATGTGGGGCTCAAGACAGACCTGGTAACCATGAACCCCTCCGTCATCCAGCGCGCCTTTGAGGACTTGGTCAATGCCACATGGCGGGAGAAGCTGCTGCAGCGGCTGCACAGCCTCAATGGCAGCATCCTGTGGATCCCTGCCTTCATGGCCCGGGGCGGCAAGGAGCGTGTCGAGTGGGTCAACGAGCTCATCCTGAAGCACCACGTCAACGTGCGCACTGCATACCCCTCGCTGCGCCTGCTGCACGCCGTTCGTGGGTAAGCGGACTCCCTACAGGCCAGTAGGACCGTCACTAGGTGTGGGAGATGCTTGGCAGGCAGTATCCCTTCCCCAGGTGCATTTTCATCCCAGTTCCACCACTCACTTGCCGGATGGCCTCAGCAAGTCACCTGGCCTTTTTTTTTTTTTTTGAGACGGAGTTTCGCTCGTTACCCAGGCTGGAGTGCAATGGCGCGATCTCCGCTCACCGCAACCTCTGCCTCCTGGGTTCAGGCAATTCTCCTGCCTCAGCCTCCCGAGTAGCTGGGATTACAGGCACACGCCACTATGCCCAGCTACTTTTTTTGTATTTTTAGTAGAGACGGGGTTTCATCATGTTGACCGGGATGGTCTCAATCTCTTGACCTCATGATCCACCCGCCTCGGCCTCCCAAAGTGCTGGGATTACAGGCTTGAGCCACCACACCCAGTCACCTGGCCTTTCTAAGCCTCCATTCCTTGAGAGATGAGGGGGTTTGGCAAGTGGGCTTCATCTGGCATGCCAGTTGTGACCAATTGGCAGTGCCTGTCTTGAGAGCTGAGCTGAGAATTATCCTGGCTGTTGGGCTGTCTCGAGGCTCAGTGGGAATAGATGTCATGAACGTGGGAAGAGAGATGGTGGCTGGCAAGTCACATACCATCCCAGGTGGGTGATTTTCAGGAAAATCAGGATCAGATGCACTCGACTTTAATTCACCTTAATCTCTCTAAACTTTAGTTGCCTCTTCAGTAAAATAGGGGTGGGAATGGTAAGACTGGAGGATGTGAAGACTAAATAAGAAAATGCATGTGAAATGCCTAGTAAAATTTTGGCAGAAACACTTAATGTTGTATCAGTCATCACCGTCTTTATGCCTCAGTGCAATATTCTCTAACTCTGCAGAACACATCTTGTTAACTGGGCTGAGAGCTTCAAAGGAGCCCCTCATAGGATAGGTTTTGATCCACGAGGTCATCTCTCTAAGATGGAGAACTTTACCTAGGCAATGTGAAAGAGACAGGGAGAGTTAAAGCAATGGAATCCACTCGCTTTAAGAAGAGTTTTGATGTAACTAGATAAGGATTCTCCTGGTTAGGTCTGGATCTCTAATTCCAGAAAGGAGATTCCAAGAATTAAGGCAAACAGAAAATGTTGAGGAGGGTCTGAACTATTCGTATCGAGAAGTCCATGTCAACCCAGACGGCATTCTTAAACAGCCCTAGCCAAAAATATAGTCGTTCCCAGTCTCTTCTTTGTTTCCTCCCATTTACGTGACCTGGCATCGATCTCTCTGACACTTGGATCAGTAACTGGCTGGGAATTTACTGGGGTCCATCATAGCGGCCACAAGAAAAATCCTTTAATATTAATCATTCACTCTCTTCCAGTTATTATCGCAGTACAAATCGTCTAACAACTTAGTGGCTTTAAAAAATCATTTTCTATTTTTTACAATTTCTATTGGCTAAGAATTTGAGAAGGGCTAACCTGGATGGCTCTTAAGTCAGTGCAGTCAGATTGGCTGGAAGTAAAACAGCAGAGGCTGAAGCAGCTGGGGTTGACTATGTGTCTCTTTCTCTTTATGTTACCTTAGGGTTTCTCCAAGTAATCTCCCTCCACAGGCTAGATTGGGCTTCCTCACAGCATGGTAGCCTTGGAGTGGTCAGACTGTGTACATGGTGGCCCAGGCTCTAGCACAAGTGGCCCAGAGACCAAGGTAGAAGCTGCATCACATTTTAAGACCACATAGTGTCACTTCTATTATCATCTACTTGCCATCTAGTCATTAAATTGGCCTAGAATCAAGGAGAGTAGACATAGACCCTGACTCCCAATGGGGAAGTGCCAATTTGTGGACATGTTTTAAAACCTACACATATTTATTCCACTTATATTTACTGAGTGCTTCCTATGTGCCAGGCTCTGCTCTAGACACTAAGATACAGCAGTGAATAAAGTCCCAGATCTCACTAATAATTACGTTTTATTACAGGGAAAGATACATTACAGGTAAACAAATAAATAAGATACTTTTAAACAGTGCTATTGGGAAGTCTTCTCTAGAAACAAGTTGGTTTGAGCTAAGTGTCAAGGGACAGAAAGGCACCACCCATGTGGTAGATGGGACAGAAAGGCACCACCCATGTGCAGATCTGGGGTAGAAACCTTCCAGGTAGAGGGAACCTTAAGTGCAAAGGCCTTGAGGTGGGAGGGTGTGTGCACGATTCAACCAAGAGACAAGTGTGGTTGAAACAGTGAGCAGGGAGAAATGGGTAAGGAAATGATGCTCGTGAAAGAGGCAGGGACTACAATGCCGTATCTTTTTGGGTCATGGTAAGGAGTTTGGATTTGCTTCTAAGTTTGAGGGGCAGTGAAGGAGCTGAGGGAGAAGATCTGAGTTGTGTCTTTAAAAGATCCCTCCAGCAAGAATGAAAGTGGAATCTTTGTTAGGAAGCTGTTGCAATCGCTCTGGTAGAAAATAAGGATGGCTTAGACTAGGATTATGGCATGGGATATCTAAGAGTTGGTCAGATTTGCTATAAAATTTGGAGGTAAAGGCAGCAGGATTTGCTAGTGGATTCTATTTAAGGACCATAATGGGGGAGAGAAAGAGAAAAATCCAGGATGACTCTTAGGATTACAGTTTGAGCACACAAGCCCAAGCAAATGAGCTCAATATGGCGGTGCCATGTTCTGTGATAGAAGAGCTTAGAGAAGCCATGCATGTTTGGGGGTGCTACGGAAGGGAGTTCTTTCTTGAACGTATGAAGTGTGAGATGCCTGTTAGAAATATACACCCCACCACACTCCTGACCTCCCAGCTTGGGGTCAGGCCCTACACCCAGTTGCCCATCCAACCACATGGCAGATCACCAGGGACACGAGAGGGCCCAGTGTACAGACTCCCCACTGAGTGAGGGCATCAGGATGCTCCTCACTGGGCCTTAGCATAACTTGCTGTGACCCTGGGAAGCCCTCTGAGCCACCCACAGAGGACTCTTGTCCTCATGAAGGTCACTGCGGTCACCCAAGCCTGTGACCAACACTGGTCTCATTAAGATAGGTATCAACAAGGAAAACCCATTGCCCCCAAAAAAGCCCTAGAGAGATATTGCATAAGGGACAGCCACATGCGTGTCTGATGGAGCCAGAATGATACCCATATGGACACGGGACTCAATGGGACGACATCCTTTATCCTGGAGGTTGGCCTGTCAAGGCCATCTTTTCACTTCATGCTTGTCAGAGTAGGTCTGCAGTGGCAACCCTCATCTCATGGACTGGTTAAATATTAAATATTGTTTCTTCCTAGAAGGAGGAAACTCTTGAGTTGGTTCTGGAGTCCCTGGAGATAAGAGGGGTAACACTGCCCTTTGTTAAGGAGAGAAAAAGTCCTTTGAATGGGGAATGGGCAGCCACCTGGAAGAAACTGATGCAGCCAGAGCTATTTCCAGCTATAATTGACTCACTTTCATCTGCCAAAATAGCATTAAGCACCAGTAATAAGCCCTTTAAACAAACAGGCTGTTCATCCTGAAACTGCAACATCTTCTGTTGCAGGAACTCCCGGGAGGAAATACTGCAGGAGAGGTGGGTGAGGTTAGCTTCTGCTGTGAGCAGTGGGAGAAGAAGGGGACAAGGGTGGCTTGGAAAGGATTTCTGCCGAGGATCCTGTCCCTCTGTCGGGCCATTGGACCTTGTAGAATGCTGGGTCTAATAGAGCATCGTTGAAAAGGTAGGGAGCGTATGTCATTAGCCGCTGCCTTGGTGGGATCTTATCTGGTGTTCACTGCAAGTGGGGGGATGCGCTGGGGAGGGATTCAGTACAAAGCCACACAAGAAAAGACCGAGGGATTGTAGAGAGGAAGGCTGAGGAGAAATCTGGCCAAGAGGCATTGTAGCCTAGCATCAAAAACATGGGCTTTGGCGGTAGCGACACCTCCAAAGAGTCCAGATCCCAGCTCCGTGACTGACTTGGTTGTATCACCTACCATCCCCAGAGCCCTGCAGAGGACACATGTAGTCAATCAATCATGGCTACTGTGATTGTGTCAGCTGCCACCTGGAGAGCTACAATTTGGGAAAGGGATTAGACTTGTCCTGTGTACTCAAGAGTTCCAGGGGCTGGAGCCACAAGGAGGAAATGCAATTAGGGTGAATTTAAGAAAGGACTCTGTAGTAGCCAGAGCAGTGGACTACGTCAAACCAGTCACTCATGAGTTCTTCACCTTGAAGTACCAATAATGGGCTTCAGTTTGCAAAATAATCTTATTTCCTTATTTTAAGATGTGTTGCCCAATAAACCACCTGTTTATGGCGTATGTGGGAGGTGGGAATAAATTTTATTGTGATAAAATATACATAACATAAAATTTACCATTTTAATGATTTTGTTCTTTTTCAATTTTTATTTTAGATTCGGGGGTGCCTCTGTAAGTTTGTAACCTGGGTATATTGCATGATGATGAGGTTTGTGGTACAAATGATCCCATCTCCCAGGTACTGAGCTTAGTACCCAACAGTTTTTCAACCCTTTCCCCATTCCCTTCTTCTCCAATATCTATTGTTGCCATCTTGATGTCCATGAATACCCAACATCTAGCTCTCACTTATAAGTGAGAACATGTGGCATGGTTTTCTATTCCTGTGTTAATTCACTTAGGATAGCAGCCTCTAGCTGAGTCCATGCTGTATTCCATGGTGTATATGTACCACATTTCCTTTATCCAGCCCACCATTGCTGGACACTTAGGTTGATTCCCTGTCTTTGCTATTGTGAATAGTGCTGCTATGAACATGCCAGCATATGTGTCTTTTTAGTAGAATGATTCGTTTTCTTTGGATACTTATCCACAAATAGGATTGCTGGGTGTAATGGTAGTTCTACGTTCTTTACAAAATCTCCAAACTGCTCTTCACAGTGGCTGAACCAATTTACAATCTCACCAACAATATATAAGCATACTCTTTTCTCCACAACCTCACCAACTTCTGTTGTTTGGCTTTTTACTAATAGCC